GCTGAGCCCTGGCTTCTGTCTGTGCGTGGAGGGCAGGCAGCACGTGCCCACCCCTCCTGGCGCTTGCCAGACCCCAGCCTCGGTTAAGATGATGTCTTGGCCTCTCTGGGCCTCAGTGTCCCTGTGTGGGCACTTGAGGTGGAGGAGGAGGGGAGGCACGGGTCCAGGGCTGGTGACCTTGGTGGCTGGCCGGCCTGGATGGAGGTGGGTCAGTGTGGACTCGCTCTGGCTGCTGGCCGTCAAGTGTCCAGGCCTGGGCAGGGTCAGGCCAGGCCCTCCAATCCGCTGCTGCCATCCAGTCAGCCTGCCCTGGGCCTACACAAAATGGTTGCTAAATCCTCTATTTAATTTTCTCCTCTGGGAAATTGTCGGAGGTTTTGGAGATAAAGCTGAGCTGATAAAGCAGGGATTTAGCTGTCCTTGCAGGCGGGGGGGGGGGGGGGGGGGGGGGGGGGGGGGGGGAGGGGGCCTGGCAGGCAGCTGTGTCAGCAGGGACTCGGGCTCCCCTGGGGGACGGGGGTGTCTGGCGCAGGGGACGGGGGCATGTGGGGGGAGAGTCTAGCCCTCTTGGGACGTAGGGCATTCCCACCCCCCTGAGGGGGCCACAGGCGTCCAGGGCCAGCCGGGGACAGGCTCTGTCCCCAGGAGTCCCCACCAGCTCCAGAGGCCCCGAAGACCCCTCTGACAGAGACCGGGCAGGGCCTCCACCCGTGGACGGCCCAGGGCCCTTTCCTGTTTCCCAGACATTGGTTGAGATGGAGTCTTTTTGCCCAGGCTGGTCTTGAACTGGACGCCTCCCAATCTTCATCGCCCACGTAGTTTAGCATCACAGGTGTGAGCCCGGCTTCCTGGTGAAGTCTTACACCGTCCTGCAGCTCTTGTTTCTGGGTTTCTGGGCTCAGAGGCCCTGCGTGTGTGTCATCTACATGGCAGGGGGGCCGGGCGGGGCAGCACTGGCATGGGGGGGCTGCTGAGCGCGGGCGGTGGGAGGCTGGCCCCGACTCACCCACCCCGCCCTCCTGCCCGCCAAGCAGACGCGCCTCTGCACGCTGCCTCTGCCCCGCCGGCACGCGCCGGCTCCCCGCTCCTCCCCTTGCTTCAAGTCTCAGAGCTCTCCTGCCTGCCGTGGGGATCTCTGAACAATGGATCTCCTTTGACTCTGGGGCTCCGTGGCTTCTCTGAAAAACCGTTTCACCGGGGTGTGTGGTGAGCGGGCGGGGGGCAGCCTCTGGTCACCTCTCTGGCTTCTTTGGGTGGAGGGGGTCTGGAGGGAACCCAGCAGGGCCCCCCCCAGGCTCCACACAGCCAGGCTTCCACCCGGCTGGCCAGGACTCTGCCGGGCTTGCCGTGCACGCTGTCTGCCTCATCCTTGGGGACCCGCAGAAGGGGGGGGCTCTCACCATCTCACAGATAAGGACACTGAGGCACGGGCTCCATGCCAGGCCACATTGGGAGCAGAGGTTGAGACGATGCTCATATGGGCAAACCAGGCCCCTGGGTGGGGGGGGGACAAACCCGGGCACTGGGTCACGTGCTGACGGCTGCCAAGGGTCCTGGCGGTAGACAGGACTGACTGCTGGACAGCCACAC